ATTCATGAAACAAGGCAGCAACGGATCCTACGGTGGCAATGCTACCTACAATGGGTGTGATGGATACGAAAGTCCTTATAGCCACTTGGCAGATTCAAGAAACAGAGATGTGTGCTCACGACGTCGAGGCTTGCTTGCTTCGGCATGTGATGCTGCCGTGCAAGACCCGTGCTTACCACATTCCCCATGGCAAGGTGGGAATGGAATGAGCTACGCGGCCCCGCAGCCTTCCTAATCAAGACTTGGGTGACGCCACGTGGGCAGTCCGAAATTCGAAGTTCGCCCAGTTCGCGGCTGTTCTCAGGTCGAACTTCGGCCCGGCCTCGCTGCGCCGTGGCCCTGGCTGGCCAGTCTAATCGCTGGCTTCGCTGGCCTTGGAGGCGCCTCGCCAATGGCCTCGGTTGGAAACTTTCATGAAGCTTTTATGCCGTGCCAGGTCCAGGTACATCCAACCAGCACTGAAACGCACTTCCCGAAAGCAGGAGCCTGGGGGCATTTTGAAAGCAAAAGCTTCAGTAGTGATGACCTCCTAAAACATGAAGGGTATTAAACATGTTGGGAAACGTGAGCCCTTCAACCCAAAACTGGCAGCATTTGGAAAAGCCATCGGCCAGCTCAGCCGATGGATAGGTGAATTTGGGTGAGGATGCTCAGGCTAAGGCTAGATGTTTTGCTCGACCATTTCGACGGACACTCCTCAGGCTCCTTCGACTGCGATCTCGGCCGATATTGATGCATGCACTTTCATTGACATGTCCATGTTAGGAGTGAGTAGAGCACAAAAGCAACACCTGCGGTTCAAACCTCAAAGACATGCACGTGATTCCTGAAATCGTTTCCAGCATAGAAATTCAAGCAGCTGAATGTGCATCACTCTTCGGCCTTGTTTCGCAATTTTCTTCCAATTCGATTTCACTGGCAGCGCTGTGGCCGGAACGGGGTGATGGATTTTTGCCCCCGCGAAGACCCCCCGCAAGTAGCTTCCCCGAAGGTAGCTAGCAGCTAGCAGGATCAAAGTCTTTTTCCCTTCTGCGGAAAGCGGTCCAGCCTCCTCAACCGGCCCCTCGCACTCGGAAAGGGCACTTAGCCGCAGCGAGGTGGCGCTTCGTCCACTAAGTCTTGGTAGGATGGACGACATTGGACGACGGATTTTCTGCTTCTATAAACGTGATCCGGCTTACTGAGAGACGCTTGAAAGTAGCTGCGTCGATGCAATCCAGATGCAAAAAGTGTAGCCGCATGCAGAGTTAGAGTGGTCTGCCAACCAGCTGGGCATCCGTGGGTCTTAGCAGTTGTGTCTCGCCTTCTAGACATGCCGCGACACCTTGCTGTAACCCACGCGACGCAACGTGGCTGGCGAGGATGGAAATAACGGTAACGTACCTGTTGCTAGCCTGCAGAACTGTGAATCTGTGAGCTTCTTCGCTGGCTGTGGAATTCAGCTTCCATCTGGTTCGTTACTGGAATGCCCTTCCTCACAGATGCAGGCATCCTCAGTGCCCTCGAAACCAACACTGTCTCAACAACAAACTGCCTGCACATGTGTGAGGGTCTGGGCATCACGTTCAGTGAAGGAGCTGGATTTGTAGGCCTGTCCGATCAGAAAGATTAACATTATGCAGTCAGTTTGCTGCTTGTAAACGGTTCCAGTTCGGATGCGCCACTTAGAGATCGGCTTTAGCTTCGGAGCTCAAGGGAGACGCAGTCAAAGGCAACTGCGCAGTGGCGAAGTCTTTGGAGGCACTTTTGTTTTGCAATCCGAGCCTGAACTCTCACACTGCCCTACCTTCAGCTGCTAGACTGATTTGGGCTTCGCCCATCTTGGCACTCTGAGGATCTCCCAAAGTGCAGAACAGAAGCTACAGCGCATGTTCTGCTTATGTGCGATTGCAAAAGCTGAGTGAGAAAGATGTTGGAGCAGTCATTTCATTAAAGCTTATATGAGCCTGCCAAAGACATTTTACAGAAACAGATGAGTCTCGCGCAAAAGGACTACGCTGACACGCGTTGTAAGCTTCGCTGGCTCTGCATATGCTGGGTCGCACGAGTCGCACGTCTTTCCGGCAGAAGAGGCTTTGGGGACAGTTCAGTGGTGCCACGAGACGTGTTTGAAGCTGAAACTCAAGCTGTACAAGTGCTGGTTGGGTTGGCATTCTTCAAATTGAGCTGTAGGATCATATTAGGGGGCCCAGACTAAGCCTTGCCATGCTTCAATCAGCCTCCAAACCTAAGCGTGCTGCGAGCCTCGTTTGGCATTGCGAAGGTTGGTCGTTAATCAGCCCTTGAGGTGGCCCACCTCGAACGAGTAACAAATCCTGATAACAAAGACGTGCGATTAGCCCAACTTCTTCTGCCGGATGACGGATCGTTTCACCTTCACAGTGGTCTGAGTGCAGTTCTGGAGCATCCTGCCTCATAAGCAAGGCAGAAACAAACAGGCAGGCGATCTGTGGCAGATGCTTTGGATGCCCCCTTGTGGGACAATGCCGGCGTCGGCCGCGGCGTCATGCGGCATGAGCATGTCAAATTCCCAAGCGACAGACAGCTGAACTACGTTGCAAGAAGTTTCTGGTTGACTGTGAACCATTAATTGTGTGAGACGACCACAGTTCCAAATGGGTTTGGGCTTGGAAGAAGGCTTTTCTCAAAAGGTGAGCTGGCATGGGAGCTCTTGCTGACAAGACCTCGTGGGTCGCTGCCAGCATGTTGCAGAAACGGTGACCTCTTGGGCGCTAGATGAAGCTCGAAGCAGAGCTCGGCAACGTGCCACCAGCACCTTGAAAGAGATGGGCCGCAAGTTCTGCCACCGCACTTCGACTCTGAATCTCTAGAACCCATGCCAAAGTGTGCCCAAAATTGCTGCGTCCCGCGACGAGAGACCAAAAGCAGCTGTTTGAGTCTGGCTATTGATGGCTGCGTAGCATGGTGCCGCCTAGCAACGGCCAGATGACTCTTGCATCGGGCTCAAGCTGTGCCGCAGTGCCTGTTAATGGTGTTTGTCTGTTCGCAGCCTCGTCTGTCTGCAAGGGGTTTCAGTGAACAGGTACGGGGCCAGATACCAATGTGTTGTGGATGTTTGTGGGTTGTGAGCTTATTTTTAGTGCAATAACTGCACAGCAATGGCTTCGCACCACAGCACCCTGCTTTGCATCATCACCGCGCAGGTGGCCGCATAACTCCTACGTAGCAGCTTTGATGGTCGAGTGTGAGATTTCATCAGGTCCGACTGCTGCTTTTGGATGCTTTTGGCTTGAATCTTTTTTGTGGGTGTCTCAGGGGTCCAAGGCTACGAGGCCACAGGTTGATATTCAGCTTCGTCCAATTCTTTGCTGGCAATCTGCCACGCTTCGTAAGGCTGTGTAGCGACAATGATTCCAACACTTTTCTACCCGCCCTGTCAGCTTTTATGCCACGCAGCCGGCCGGAACTGCTCTGAGCGGTCGGGTGGCGCCTTCGTTACATTGCTGGTGGGAGTGCCACGGTTGCATGGATTGGACATACTGTGGTAGCGAGCTTGTCAGGACTGTTAGGATCTATTGGTGTCACTGTCAGCTCGTAGCCAGAGGAGAACGAGTCAGTGTCGCCGTGGGTGGAGGACAGGTATATCAATGCTCTAGAAGTGCTTCATTGCTGATCTCAACTCCGCAAGCTATCGTGTCGTTTCCGCAAGGATGAGAATTTCATTGAGGCAGCCATTGCCCATGCTGTTCGTCCACCAGGCAGGCAACGTATTCAGGATGTAAAAAGTAGTGACGTTTTTCATGCAAGGTGTGCTTGTCAGCGCGCTTGGACTGCCGGCTGTAGCGTCAACAAGAATAAATCTGCATTCTTCTCGGGAGGCACATTGACAATCGACAAGTCATTAAAGACTTTGGCGAGAATACCAGTTTTCCACCAGACCCTGGGACTTGCTACTTGAAGTGGATGGCCGAACCGTTTCCTCTTGCGGGGAGTTTGTTCAGTCCCTTGAGTCGTTGCATGTTATTGCAGTTACCGCGGCCGTTTCCAACGACCCCTAGCTTTTGCACGGATCCCGGGCAGGAAGAGTGGAAGGGTAGCATGTCAGCGTAGCATGAAGTGCTAGGCTCGCCTTCGTCTTAAGGATTCTAACCGGCGGTGACTGCGACCAGTGGTCTTGGCACGTGGACCCGAAGAACGTGGCTTGGGCAGAGCTGGCAGTTGAGGTGGGGCGGAGCTATCTGCTCGCAGAGCCTGCCTTCATTTCTTCTAGCCCAATGTCTAGAGAAGTGAGAAGCCAGAGGGGACTGGAGATACTGCAGGTCTGCGATGCATCTCCGCGGTACATCGAGGATCATTCTGAGGCAATTGGTATCTCTCCATTGTTTTTTTCATGAGTGCCACTGCCCCCACTGTCTCCGGAAGGCATGGAGGACGTCGCCAGGCCGCTGGTGCCCTTGGAAGGTCCAGGCGTGTGCAGTGATAAAGTCTGGCTTCTTCGTAGCTGCTTAATGAAGGTGTTGTGTCCAGGTAGAAAGCAGTAGTGCCTCCATGACTGCTGCGAAAATTGTTGTGCTTGGAATCCTGCAGGTGCTGAAAGTTGAGGATCGGAGAGGAAAGCACCCAGAATTCATCAGCAAGCCTGAAGTGCAAAGAGGAGGGCTGAAGCGATGAATGACATTTAAACGTCCTTTCCGAAATCTAATTGCAAGCCCCGCACTGACACAAAGCTCATGTGCACAAATTTGAAATCCTTTGTAGTAGAAGTCCTTAAAGCTTGGAAGGCTTGGAAGAAGCAAGCCTTGAGCTTCCACTGTACAGAGTTTAAGCCTCCGGGCCTTGACTGAGCAGCCAGACGGCGCAGAAACTGAAATCCATGAACAGTTACATCTTCCAAAAGCTGCGTTTGCCTAGTCTGCCTTGGTAAGCATCAGCCCTGCCTGTGCTTGAGAAGTATCGCGTTTGCGAGGCGCGTGTGCTCGACACGGTGCTTGATGCGAGATGTACCTGCTTTGCAGCCTGATGCCCTTCTCCCCTCGCAGGGAGCGCGTGCAGCGGTGCAGCTTCCAAAGAGGCCGGGCTGCACCAAAGGCGGTGCTATACGCAGCAGGAGTCACCAAACCTCAGGCAGCGCAAACTGTGGGAAGAGCTTGCATTTCTGTGCAGTCCGTGAAGATTTTTTTTGCAATGCCAGTGGGGATCAAGCATGTCAAGTGAGATATGTTGGTTTGCCATGGCATTGTTTTGCTTGGTGCAGGCCAAACTCGATGCAGACCCATGCGCGTTCGCTAGGACATTGCTAGATGTACCTACCTTCCTTGATGACCACTTTCTCATGAAACAAAGCCATTTGCAACAAGCAGATGTGACGGCATGCGAGGGGGCACGGGCTATGAGAAGCCAGGTCTCTCCAAGCCCAGTGGTTCAATTTTCTTGACTTCTGTGTCGGAGGAGACTCGGGGGCCATGTCCAGCTTTGGTTCTACTCTCGGATCAACCTGGGGCAAGTCCGATGTGTGCTTCTTAGCCTCATGCCACAGATCGAAGGTGCCTTGCGTCATGACTTGGGTTGTCAAATATCCCGCCAGCTTGTTTGAGCCAGCAATGAGGTCACACCATCTCCGCGAGGTCATCTCCCACCAGCTTCTTTCTGCATGGCTCATGCTATTTGTACTCTGTGCCTGGCTGCAGGAGGAGCGACGGAGCCATTTTGGCATGTTTGCACTCTGCGGGGGTCCAACATGAGTTTTGCAAGATGTTCTGGACGTGAGCTGCGCTTATCGTGCAGACTTGGCGATTATGCACAGGCTGGGTGGACGTGTGTGTGGGCTGCTTTCTGCATTTGCCAGGCGCCAGGCCTCAAAGCAGGCAATCGAAAATTGTCGAACATCTGCCTGATGCTGATCCCGTGACACCTGCATCACGGCTAGAATGCAACGAAAGCAGCTCGGCTGCAACGTGACTGTCCCATCTGGAAGGATCCTTCAAAGCCAACCGTGCTGCCTGGTGGGCTTGGTGGGACTGCCTGGCTCCCAGCATGCCTCCAAAAATGAAGGTCGTCGAAGTCGAGATGAATCTTCGACTCTGAGGCGCAGCGCCTGTCTCAGACTGGCACCACAACGGCAGGCCTGCGTCTGAAAACAAAACGAAAGGGGGAAGGAAAAGTCTTTAGACTCCAGATACTCCAGGACGATCTATTGGACAAATTCTTCTCATAGAAGTTGATGGTTTTTGCGCTTCGATTGCGAGTTTGTCCCGCGGCTTTATGATCAACGCAAGTGCACACACAGACAAGAAGTTGTCCTTTCGTCTCAGGCTTGACAATGTTTTCTGGCTGAAATGAAGACTAGCCAGAGACTATTAAGGCAGAGCATGTCCTCCTTTTGGCGTATGCGGAGGAGGGCCCCTAGTTGAAAGAGCCAGTCACTCATTTGTTTCGTCCCCGAGCATCAACAAGTCAACAAGCACCCTACCAGTAGTTTGGTATAGAGTATAAGTCAAATTGGCTTGCCGTCTGCTTGCTGATCAGATTTCGCGTTTGGGCATCAACGGCCCCAGAAAATAAGTTCAGGAGGGCGGAACTTGGATTTCCTCACGAAGAAGATCGGGTCCGTCATCGGAAGCCCGGGCAAACTAGCAGGCCTGGTGCACTTGGCTGCCCAACGGAAGCTCGAATTTTGCTCCTACATGACAGGCCCGAAGCAGAAAGGCTCCAACTCAGGCTGTGAGTGGTTGCGGTCCATGTTGGCTGTGTGTCACACACTTGCTTCTGCCAGGCGGCCGAACAACCCAAGCTGCAAGCCCAGTCTAGAATGAGTGCGTTGGGGACAGGTTGTGAGGCCTTTGAACTTGCTGAAGCGCACTCAGGCCTAGCATTGGAAATAGGGCAGCTTGTGTGACCCATCATTCCACCTCTTGCTTTGCACGGAGATCTGTAAGGGCGAGCTCCCAGCAAGCTTAGCCCTGCGCCAGACCCTTGGTCAAGCTGTGGCTGGGATTCTGAGCGGAGAATGGCAGAGCCAGACGTTGTGTAAGCACATGAACACAACCAGTGCATGGGTCCCACCAGTAAGCTACACATTCAAGTGCTAAGCATACGGGGAAGTTTAACGCCGAGTCCCTTCCGAGCCCCTGCAGGCGCACAGAACATCGAGGCCTGGAGAACACACATCAGCTTGTTTCCACCAGGGTAGTTGGCAGGTTGGACCATGCAGATCTTCAGAGCTTAAGTGAGCAGCCCAGCTCTGCCACCTCCGTTTTGCATCCAGGCGAAGTGCTCGCCGGATGTGCGCAGGGCGTTTCGCTCAAAGCCGGTCAGAGCCTTTTCAGGTCTGGCATGGGTTTGTAAATGCCTGGCTCCTCCAACAAGCAAAGAACGCAGCTGGAATTTGGCCATGCCATCCGAAAGTGTGCAAGACGCAGTTTCAAACACTAGCCACTAGCTAGTCCCAGGTGCCATGTTACATGTTGGGTCTTACCTTGTTCAACGAGAACCTTGGCCTTTGCTCCTTGTGGATAAGGTGGAGAGGTGTAGCTGCGCAACGATCACAGCTCGGATGCCCAGTCAGCTTCCAGTCCTGCAAAGGCCGGGTAGACCAGGATGCCTCATTGAAATCCCTGCTCTCCCAGCGCTTCTTTTACAGATTAGAGCTTCCTGAAGTCTGCTGGCGATGGCGTGGGGCTCATAGGTGTGATAGGGTTGGGCCCGAGCCTGGCGCTAGAGCGTAAGCAATCGCATATTGCAATCTCTGCCGCTGGACACTGGCCTGAAGACATGCGATGTATATGATACGATGCAGTGGTTTGGCACGCGGTTGGGCTCAGAAAGCAAGGCAGCCTAAGGCAGCCTAGCTTCCTAGCTTCAGAGGATGCAAACTCACTCTCATTATTCTCATTGCTCTGAGGCGGTGTGGTCGGCCTGCGACACCTTCTGGGAATTTGATTCTGCACACTCTGGAGAGATCACCCGAGAGGCCGTGTTGAAAAAGCCGAGTGAAACCAAATCGAACGTCACTTGAAAAAGCTTTCAGCTGAAATCATTGTGGCTTTGGGGGCGATACGGCATCATCCCAGCCACCTGTCCCGGCACAGAGGCCTACATTGACCTCATGCGTGAGTGTGCAACAGCCCGCGCCCTTGAATTGAAGCAGCTACGGGTTCATGAGCCATTCTCGACTAATTGAGTTGGTATGGCAAGGCGGGAGATAGCGGAGAGATAGCAAGATTCCATACACCAGCAAGCTCATGCATCACATGTTTGTAAATGCGTCGCGTAGAATGGACAGCCTTCTTGCCATGAATACGAATCTGCTGATCAGTACAGACGTGAGACAGGGTGCCCCCCCCAACTAGCAGTGCTTCTGGTTGGATTACATCCGGCCAGTTCAAGCGCTGAGCAGCACTGGCTGGTTTGTCCAGCCTGGCTGCATTTTGCAAGGGCACACAAATCTTGCTATTGGTATAGCATTGCCTTGCTCTGATGCCAGCCTAGGTCAACACGCTTCGCATGCTTCGGAGGGCCAGGCGAGTTCGAGTCGTAGTGGAAGGGTCAGGATCATCGCTGGAACCAAAACCCACAAAACGTTTCCTTGCCGGAAGATGAGCTTGGAACCAGGCTCGAGTTCCGTTTCCGGCGCTCTGCTGCACCGGTGACGTTGGAGGTACAGGGCATGCCCTCAGCGCCATGATAGGCTGCGACTTTTCAGCACCTGGCAGGATTTCCTGGCCATGGTATGGCCCAAAGCAACGGTTGAGGATGCGGGCGGTTGCTTCACTTGAGATCATGGACACTTTCAGTCGGGCCAGGATCGAGCCAAGATGCTCAGATGGGCCGAGCTTCGCGAGGCTGTTTGTGTCAAAATGTAGGATGCTGCTAGCACGTAGCCTGCTGTACCATCCTGTGCCAAAATTCAAGCTGGGTGGCCGGGGCTCACTGCACGCCCGACCCATTTTGACCTCAGTAGATACCCTATTTTCCTAGACTCCTCACCAGACCCCATGCCTCCTCTGCTTAGATTTTCCGAAGGCCTCCTGCGACATCCCAAGCTGGCTTACTTACTGGACGGCCTACATAATCCTCCTTCTCAGACCTCTGGAAAAACGTTTGTGCCCTATGCGCACCTACACTTTACCCCTGATGCGCCTTGGCGTTTCATTGTTTGCACCCATTTCCATAAAAAGCTTAGCGGCAAGTGCAGGCACCGCAATTCTGCATCTCTAGTGACTGCCAAGTGCGTCCTGATGCCATTCGACCCAAGCTGGGCATTTCAATTTCCAGTCAAAGTCAACCCGCATAGCCAAGTCCAAAGCAGATCTTGCACAGAACTTCCGCGATTCCGGTTGCCAGTGTACTAGAACACCACAGCAAAGAGAAACTTCGCCAGGCCATGTTTCTCAGCCCCCACGCGCCCTTTCGGGGAACGCACCTCTTCCTCACTCAGGCCCTAGCATCGGAGCCTTAAGATTTCGGCAGCTGCTGCAGCCATGGCGATGGATCGCCTAAACAGAAGTAGAAGAGATTCTTGGCTGCACCTCAGTTGGGCACAGGGCTTTCATGCTTTTCCCACCTGTGCATGAAGTCGGGCTCCGAGGATAAACTCGACTGGGCTGCCAAGCTAGGTCGCTGGTGCTGCAATGTGCTGCAGGGGCACTTTGCATCCTACCCGAAGTTTTGGTGGACAGTGACATGGCTTCCTAGCTCAGGTTTGGGCCCACTGGCAGGCACAGATGAAGCCACACAGTTTCTGTGCATTTGGCTTTTGGTGTAGTGTGACTTTGTTGTAATGTAATGGCCGCCTTGCCCGTTTTTGTGCAACTACCAACTCCTGTATGGACTTGCAGGTGGTGAAGCACCGCCCGGACAAGGCATGATGCAACCAAGCATTTGGATGTGTAGTGTTTCTTCTGATTTACAGCTAGCTCGGATTTGCTCATCTCTACGGTGCATGATAGGCGCACCTGCCCATGCGATGAGTTGGCTTCCTGCTTGCTAGTACATTGCAAGCCTTCTTAGATAATGCCCTTAGCTACGGACATGAGTCAGACATCCGCAAGCACTTCTGCGAGCTGTTGCGTAAATCAGGCCCAGTGCCGGGCAATGCCCGGGAATCGCTGGCACAGCGCAAGCAGGTCAAGGGCATCATTGCTGACATCATAAACACGTGTCAATCCCACCACGCTTGCCCATGACCATGCCTTTGGCCCTTTCTTGCTGCTGAGGCATGACAGCAGGTGTCCTTGATTCGTTGCAATTTGTTGTTTTGGCTGCGCAAACCCTGCCTTGTCTGGAAATTTTCGAAAGTGAAATGCCTACTAGTGCTCGAAGAGCAAGTTAGTATGATATCAGCGCTGCCCAACAGGCCGAAGAAATGGCTGAGCTGCGCCGGCGAATTGCGGCTCGATTGGAACCAGAGTTGAATTGGCAGCCCCTCAGAACAAGTTTACGCTGACATCACTGGAGCTGGTCACGAGTGGAAAAGGCGAGATTTGAAATCTTTATCGCAGACATTCTATCCCACATTTTTCTGAACACTTTGACAAAACATGGTCACGGCGCCAGTATGGGCCCGTGTGTTTGAGCACATTCCTGTGTATGAGATCTGAGCTCAATGCGTGCGGAACCATGGAAAAACTCATCTGCATGAAAAGGGTGGTAATTTCAGGGATCAAAAAAACACCGTAAAGTCACCATCCGACGTCTGATTTTGAGCATTTTGCCATAGCTTCGAGCGCATTTTGCAGCCCGGGGCCTACGACAAAAATGTCGTTTTCCTTCACGCCGCTTTTGCAAGCTGTCCAAGCTCGCTTAGGAGCTTGCTAGTGCCTGTGGCCTTGTGCCACAAGCTTTGCCACACGCAGTCAAGCATCTGTGGCTGAAGCCCTGTGCTGTCGCAGCGGAGCTTTTTACTGGCCGCTTGTTTGGGCGCGCAACTTTTGAGATCCTGTGCTGTCGCAGTTCATTGTAAACAGACGGCTCGACCATGGCGCGAAGACACCGCAAACAAGACCTTTTGTGAGGCAAAACTGCTGCGTGAGAAGCGGTCCTCACGGCGGAATTACCCCTCCTCCCCCCCTCCCCACCTCCCCCCACCCCTGCATCGTCTACAACAGGAAGCAGCAACAATATGCAGAAACGCACGGGCCCGTAGAGGCGCCGTCACCCAAAACATGTATCTACAAGCAATTGCATCTCCGCAATCTGCCAAGGAAGAGAGAGAGAGAGAATATGGTTGTGTCATGTGATGCGAGAGGAGGACTAGGGCTCTGAGCATGCAAGGGCACACCCAGGGGCCTAGCTTCCACCGCTGGGCGTGTACAGCTCGAACCTGTGACAGCAGAGCATGGGTTTGGGAAGCCGCAACGGAGTTTGATACGGGTGGCACTGAGAGACCGGGACTTTGTTACTTTTAAAGGCGTCGTGTCCTCTAGGTTGTAGAGAGTGAGAGAGAGAGGGAGGGGCTCCCGGACAGCCTGCCACCAGTTTTACGGGTGCCCCATCATGGTCGTACAGCCCAAGCCACATGAGCTGGGGATGATGGGAGTTCTCACTACCGGGCTCAGCAGCGGCGAGGTCCATAGGCGGGATTGCAAGGGATGATGTTGTAGAGACTCTTGTGATCCGGGGCTCTAGCGTACCTCGGTGTGTCTTCGCAATCCCGCTTATGTTCGATAGTCGGGACCTGGGACGGTATCGCGAGACTCTGTTCCGCCCTGCTTGGGGCAGTGCCCCTGCCTCTCCCTAGGGAGAGGTATAGCAGTGAGAAGAAGAAGAAGAATATGCCAAGGACGAGAAGCAGGCCGAAGTGGCTGCATCGAAGCCGCCGCAGCCAGAGGAAGAGGATGTCGACGTCAGGGCCAAAGGACCGTGTGGAAGACCGATGCCTGACATGTTCCTGTCCTTCGGCGTAAGGCCTCTGGCTTCCTGAATCCCAATGTTGCGGCCCCAGTCGCAAAGAAGCAAGTTCGACCAGGATGACTAGCTTAGGGTCTTGCCGAGGGACTTTCCCAGACGTTCCACCTAAGCATGCTGAAGGCCAAGTCCAGTGCGAAGAAGAAGGTCGCACCAAAGAGCGTCGCTCGGATTGCAGCCGCGACAATTCATAGGGATGCTTCAGGTGTCTCACTCATCGCGACTCAAGGGCCGTCCTGTGCAACAACTTCTCAACATGTCCGAGAGAATGATGGCACAAATCTTGAAGGTCCTCGAGTTGCGCATTGGCCAGAAGCCGACAGTGGTTGTTACGTCACGGCCGGATGACGAGCCGCCAAGGTGATGCCCCGGATTGTAATTAGATACATGAGCGAAGGTTCAGCCTATTGCTTTTCAAGTTCTTGGGCAGAGAGTTTGCAGGGACTTCTGAGAAGTCCCATGAAACAGGTCCAAATGTGAATGCATGCTTGGGTTCAGAACTTTCTTGTTTTCTCTTGACTTGTGAGGCCTGCCGAGCAGGAGCCAGGTGAAGAGAAGGCCGTAACCTCATGATGTCATGGCAAGAAAAAAGGATACAAAGGGTCATCTGGCAAAAGCAATGGGCAAGCACCACTTTGCGCCATCCGTCAGGATGAGAAGGACCTGAAGGCCGAGCGACGGGCCAAGCAGAAGGCTGCGACGAGATTCCAGGCACCTCGCTTCTTTGCTTCTGTGGGATTGCTTCTCAGCGAATTTTCTGCTAATACAGATAGGATGATTCTGAGAACGATCTGGCCAAGACAAACTTGTAAGCACCGCAGGACATTGAGGAGGAGTATTCGCTCGATAGCCAGGGCAACGAGATCCGAAGGGGCAGAAAGAAAAAACGACCCTTGTCAGCAGACCGCCAAGTCGGCTAAGTGTTGACGGTGAACTATAAAACTGGGCAGGGCCGTCAGTAAGGGATCGTACAAGTGGTCGCATGCTGTAATGACAAGCTCCCAGGACGACCTCGACTTTACGATGACGAGGAGTTGACTTGGGGTCCAACAGTAGGGTTTTTCACATGTCGTTCGTTAGCAAGCACACAGCTCGTCAGATCTCTTCCAGCAGGACTCCGAGGAGTTCCGTCGGCGGTGTCGGAGCCGCTCCGGCCGTTTCTCCGAGGCGGGAATTATCTGTGTGGCCTTTTTGGCCATGGGGTCTCCATGTGTCTGACTACAAGACTGAACTCTAGACTGCCTCCTTGCCTCCTCGAAGTCCTAGGTCTTTTGACGAAGCGCTTTCACGTCAAAATATCTCAGCTGAATGCCTGCGCTAAGGATGGGCGAGGTCGTGGGGACAGAAGTCGTTCGTACGATCGCAGCTTGATGCATTGAGCTGCTGCCAGAGTCCGCGCCACTAGCTACCGGCTTGACTGCAAAGCGCCCTTCCTGAGGTTACTACGACGATGACGACTCATCAGAAGTCAGGAGACGAAAGAAGCGAGAGGAGAAGAGAAAACGTGAGGAGCCTGCGCTTGTCGCCGTCATGCCTGTGACGTTCGTGTCATGGAACTGACACCGTGGTGCCGGGGTTTTAGAGCTACTTCACGGGACAAGTAGGCCAGGGTTCTGTAAGGGGCAGCGAGGTTTCGAAAGCACCCTTCTGAGCAAGCTGAGGAGTGGAGAAAGGAGTGGAAGAAAAAGAAGGAGATGGAAGAGATAGCAAAACGTAGAGCAGGCATGCAGATATATTTGCCTGAATGCTTGTGTGATGAGACAACATGTCCACCCGTGCATTGCTAACGTGCAGGCGGCCGCTCATCGGACGAAGAGAGCTCCTTGGTAGCATATGCATGTGGGCTTGCGGGAGCCAGTGAAAAGCAGAAGAAAGTGTGGGAATCCTCGAGCTATCCTGGGCAAAGGCGATCCCTGCGACTTTGAAAAGCGTGCAGAAGGTAGCGCTGAAAGGACCCCAACGTTGCCACACCTGAAGGGGTGACTGCACAAGCTGCCCCCACATGAAACCACGCCACGGCTCAAAGCCGATTTGCAGGAGCCCCGGCCGTCAGCTCCTGTCAAAGAAGGCGAGCCAAGAGAATGGCGGTTGGCTTGCCCCAAGATGAGTCAAGTCAAGCTGTTTGTGATTCGGTTCGCCATGCATACCCTCATGTTTTTTGAACTCGGGCACGGCAGTTTACAATATCTCTTGGGCGCCCAACCTTGACAACTGTGAGTCGGTTTGGGAATAGACGCAGCGACATCGAGAAAAGATCAGCTTAACGAACATAATGCAAATCACGCACAAGTGGGGCAAACAAGCTAAGAAGGACTGGAGCCGATGAGTAGGCAGCAACAGACGCCGTAACAGACAGTCAATCGGCAACGTGAAGAGAAAAATGAAAGGGCCAAGCGGAGGAGCGGGCCCCATGCAAGACAGGTAAACAAGGTAGGTGAAACCAGGAAGGGGGAAAAACACAGCATGCTGTGATTCTCAGTTCAAGATACTCCCACCAGAATAGCGCATGTTTTTAAGCATCAACATAAAGCCTGCCTTCATCCAGGAGATTGGTGTCCCCGAGGCCCAGGTAGATCACGTCGGAGGCCAGATGCTGAAGCCAGTGGGGGAGGAGTAGCTGTCACCCTGTTGCGCGCAAGTAACATTTTGATCTGCCGCTTGGCACTCGCTGCATCCACCTGCCAGCCAGGTGTGCAGAGAAAATATGCCAGGGACCTAGAGGCTTGTTGCGCTGTCGTCCGCCGATCAGGCATGAACCGCTCCATGACTTTGAAGCTAGACATTCTTGCACCAACAAGCTTGAGTTGCACACATTTATATCAAAACAAGGTCGGGCAGCTGAGTTGCGGTCTCAGTTTCTTTCGGCTAACTTCCGCACCCTCGTCGGGCAGGGCAGAGGATAGCCTGACATGACCAGACCAGCAAAAAGCTCAGGAGACTCGGAGCTCGACGAGCGGCTCCGCCGTGCCGAGTTGGCGCTTTATGGCGGTGGGGGAAGGACTTCTTCTCAAGGGCACCATGCTGGCGGCAATGGGATTGTGCATGCATCAGTAGGGTTGCTGGAAGTCACCTCCTAATGCTCATTTGTTTCAACGCCACGCGGGCCTGGGGCAGGAAGCTGCTTACGGAGGCCGAGGCCATTGCTCTCCTCCAGGGAGGCGCGAGCCCCCCGTGTTAGAAATTGCTTGATAAGCTCCCGCCTATTCGAGCACCTTACCATGATGGACATTGTATGACGTAATGCCTGTCATGTTAACGCACAGAATGATTAACGCCATGCCTTGCGGTACGTGATATGGGCACGTAACATGTTGTGTCACGGGGCCTACAGTCCTGCAGGCAACAAGAGGCGGAGATGACAGTTGTCATGCAGCACCTATCTCCGCTGTAGTGAGCATGAATGGCCGGAAGCATTAGCTGCTGCATGCGCACTTCGGCTTGCGTGCGGGACGTCGTGGTGCAGAGGTCAGCCCGGTATATTCCAGGAGCATGTATTGCAATGTAAGAGGTACCAGCCTATGCAGACTTGCTTGTTGGGAGCCGCGGGTGGTATGCCATTCTAAAGCTGTGAGCTCCAGACTGGAGAAGTGTCTTAGTCAAGGAACTCAGCACCAGGGCTCTCCAACCTCGCACAGACTGTTCTGCACTAAGGCATTGCCAAGCTATTATTATTTCCATTCGCCAGAGTTGTAGACTTCTTGTTCAAGCGGGGCAAAGCACAAGTGCCTGGCATGTCAGCTTCAGATGGCAAGACAAAGCGGCCTGTCTCACAACTTGCCCTGCCGGCTGAAGCAATGATGGGCAGCAGTCTAGATGACAACTGTATACGATAACTGTTACTTGTACCATGTACGGAAGTCATGAGCCTGGAAGTGTTGACAGCAACGTGATGCGGGTCAGGCAAGTGGGAGCAATTCTCCCTTCTCAGGAAGGGTTCACTGGGCAATTGCAGCTCTTGGTGGCTACTTGTCATGAACTCCTGTTGTCTTTCAGAGCTTTCAATCTTGTGGCCAGTAGTTCAGCCAAGGGAGCACAGCTGGTGAACTTGCAGAAGTCAAGCAATCCTTCTCGTCAGGATCCTGCATGGAAGAGCTTGTATGAAGAAAGCGGCTGGCAGGAAATGCCTCGCCAGGGAGTGGAGGGTTGCAGTGGCAGAAGCTAGGATTCAAGAACATGAGGAGCACGGACGAACATATGCCTTGCTTGACAGAAAGCGCGATGCTGGCTGGCACTGTGTCTCTGGAAGAGGAAGTAGTCTTGTTTTCTGGATGGCGTGCGTGTGAAGATCCATCTAATGCAATTTGTGCAAGAAGTACCCAGCCTTCACTGGAAGTGCCTTGCATACTGGCCCTGTCAGTGCTACGACATGATCCGCCATAATTTCACTGCGACGGACCAAGCTGGGACCTCAGCGATGGACGGAGGGTAGCAATGAAGAAGACAGGAGACTTGCCGAAAACAAAAGCAGGTAAGGAAACAAGAAGGACATTCTCGGAGGTGCTCCGAAATCCTGTAAGATCCACATTCAGCAAATCCATGATGGGCATCGAGAAGCCAGCCCTGCAATCCAACAGAGCGGGCATACGTTTTTGAAGCCCATCCACATTCGGATCAAATCTGAAGAGTGTCAAGTGTTGGGTTATCTTTCTAGCAGCTGGTAAATTCCAGCAAATACCCACCGAATCTGCATCTGGTCTTGAGAAGATACACTAAGCATGGCCGGTCTTCAGTTTTTTTCTTGCTTTAGCTGCAGCAGAAGCAGTAGCGGTGGAAGCAGCATATGATTGATGGGCTTAGGCAGAAATGAATTCTCAAGTGGTCAGAGGAAGCCATGCTTTCAGAGGGGGAGCGGGTGGAAGTGAACTGTTCGCTGGAATTAGCGGGCGATGTACATGTTTGCATTTGTGCTTCTGTCTCTTGCATCAAGTAGAAGCGCTATACCGATAGAACAGGGTTCCGGAATGACCATCACCACCACCACGGCCGACTCGCTCCTTCAAGCCAATTTAAAGTTCGAAATGTGGCAGCAAATAATGTCCAGACTGTTTATGATTCTACAAAATCCTGGAAGCACGCTAATTCAATCTACAATGCAAGTAAACGCTTTAGTTGAAATCAGGTGGTTCTGAGGATATGCGTTTCTCGAATTGCTAGAAAGTAAACAGTTCTTTATTCACGGGAAACGGGAAAGCTTGATTGGACAGACATCATTGCGCTGCTTGCCCAAACCAGCTAGACCAGCCAACCCTTAAACACCAAAACACAAATTTGGTGTTGGGTCCTGATCAGTTTCTTTTTCTTTGGTTGTGGCTTTCACCTTTGTTGGTGCTGCTTCCATGTCCTGTCAAGCATTGCATCACACTAGGTCTGTAGAGGTAGCAGTGTGTGTTCCATCATGTCAGGTCTTTGTAAGGTTGCTTTGCCATGGAGGCCTGGGTGCATGTAGGAGTATTTATTTTGTAGTTTGCTCAGTTCTGAGAACCAGCATGCTCGGCGCTGACGTCAACCGAGTCGCTGTGAGAGAGACAGAGAGAGAGAGTACTGGTCAATTGAGCCGTGTCATGGCAAAAGGCTTTTACTTGTGTCATGCGAGTGTGGACGTTAGTTTCTCGCCCATTACACCCGCGGCGCATGTGAGCTGCTGTCGCAATCCCAGATTTTGTTGTAGCTCATGACGTGTTGAAGCAGCCAATGTCCGGCAGGGTGGCCATTGGGAAGGATTCTGCTTCGCAAAGCCACGCGAAATTGCAGCACAAGAAGCAGCACTCCCAATTAACAGAGTGTGCTTCTGTGAGCGCCGTTGTTGACCAGCAAGAGGTATTGTTTCTATCTAGAGCAGCATTGTGATGCATGATGTCAGTTGGATGCGCATGCGGTGTCCTTACTGTTTGTTTGTGGGTCAGCCTTTGAGCGCGGACATGTCGTGACGTTGTAAGTGTTGCTCGAGCTGCTAGGATTGCTGAGAGGAACAATGGCAAAGAGGGTTGCTGGAGGCGGTGTTGGCTCAGGACTGGCAAGCACTCAGAGCAGTCAAGGCAGTTAGAAGGAAACACCAATGGGAGGAGGACTTAACCATGCAAACTGACTGGGAACAAGCCATGCAAAAACACTTCCAAGGCATCTTCGCCAAACAGCGGGCGGAGAAGGTGAGAGCGGCTATGCAAAACATATGGGATCAGCTTACCAGGGCATGTAAGAATAGGTGGAGACCCTTCTCTCACGAACAGCTCATGCTCCGCACCAATGCATGGTCAGGGGGCAAATGTACAGGACCAGATGGAGTGAGCTACGAAGCGCTGCGCGCCATGGTACTACATGAAAGGTGGGAACCCCGTATCAGGGAAGAGTTCAGTGACGCACTCTATCTGGGCCGCTGCTCGCAGCTGATCAAGAAGTCCGTCACCATTCTTCTCCCGAAAGAGACGCAGCCGCGTGAATGGGGGCAGACCAGACCAATCACCCTCAGCAGCAGCCTGCTGAAATGGCAAGCCCAGCTTCTGCTCGGGAGGGTTGGGGAGGCGATCATGGCAATGGCGAGGTACCAGATCGCAAGACCAGGCCGACAAGCCACTGAACTGATATTACTGCTGAGGCGGGTAGTGCGCATCTGTAAAGAACGGGATATCCCGCTACATGTGGTTAAGGTGGATGTTTCCAAAGCGTTTGATCCAGTCTCGCAGCCAGCAGTGGCGGAAGCTATCCGTGACAAGCTCACAGGCAGAGGCCTGGCATGGGAGGCGAGATTGTGGGTTGATTTGGTTGAGAACAGGGAACTTGAAGTGCATTCCCAAGGGCAACCCAGGCCAATACCACAAACAAACGGAGTGCGCCAGGGCTCGCCAGACAGCCCGGTCATTTTCGCCAGCATCATCGGCGATGTACTGAATGAGACGTTCTCCTCGGAAAAGGAGCCAAGCGCAGGAGCCGTGCTGTCGGGCTACAGCCCGGACAGGGGGCCACCACTGCCCAACCATGGATCGGGGTTCCAAGACGACGTCTACCTGTGAGCGCTGCATCGACCATACCTGCAGCCTTGCCAGGCGAAACCTGACCATTCACCCCAGCAAAACCAAGTACATCCACACATCCCAACACACCCACACACTGCAGGTAGGGGGTAAGGAAATCCACGGAGAAAGCATGGGGTCGATTACAGTGCTGGGTGCGCCGGTTGCGATGCGGTATGAGGTGCTCGCCTGCCTAGGCGAAATTTCCCGAAGAGCCAAGGCGGCATTTGCCGTACACAGGAGAATGATGACGGGCCCTGGCAGCAACAAGCAAAAGTTGGTGGCGTATGGGAGATTTATTACGCCTGCGGCATTGTGGGCTGTCACCCCCGCGAGGCCCTACTCAAGGGGGCCAGAGGCAGGCGATAGAACCAATGAATCGTGGGCGGAGTGGAACCAACGCTCCCTCCGGCTCACGCGGACAATCCTGGCGCAGAAACGCCATCATTCTCAAGATGGTCTGGCGCCTGCACGGGCCATGGCGAGGCGCCCGGATGACCGCGCAGCGCTGCTAGGGTGGCGAGACCAGGCTTGGTGGGAGGAACAACAGGCAGACCCGCGTGGGCCCAGGCATCTCAAGCGATTTAATGCCATGCTCAACACGGACAGGCTGCTCAACCAGCTCACCAAACCGTGGCAGCTGACAGCCCAGAACAGAATCGAATGGTCGAGATTGGAAGCTGTGTTCATCAAGCGGTTCGATGTTCCATGGTCCAGTGGAAAACAGGACTCGCTGGAGAACCTGGCCCCCAACTAACACCAAACCGAATTAAGAAACAAAACGGGACCAAGGCTGGTCGGGAAGAGCCCGATCTGGAGGGTGGGGATGCGGATGACTGGAGTCAGGATAGCCTTCCCGCCCAAAGGCAGACAGGGGCACGACGTTGACGAGCCACCCGACACCATCACTGACAACGCGCTGCCCCGCCACATGTATCCGTGTACGCACTAAATCACCACAGAACAGCCAGAAAGCAGTGACACATTTACCCCAATAGAGAAGAGAGAGCAGAGAGGAGAAGAGGAGGAGCTGGTTGCGAGTGGAATGCGCAACATGCAAGTTGAACAGTTGCTTGGAGGCAGCATGCCCTGGATGTACCTGTCATCGTGGAAAGCTTGCAAGAGTTCATGCGCCTGGACAGTCCCGAGCCAATCCATGCAACACGGGTCTCCAACCAGTGAAGCAGACACCCAGTGCAGATCAGATAGTGCTACGAGCAAGCATACCACAGCATCTTGACACAGGGTCATCTCAGCGCCAGACTTGGAGAGCCCTTGCGTGTTTTGCACCATCAGGCCATCAGATAGGGAAAATCGCGCAGCATCTAGCTAGCCGGCAGTCCACCCAAGTGGTTACCGAGCATGGCTGTGAGCATGATTCCGCGAGTGGGGAAGCTGCTCATCGCCTACTACACCCTGGTATGCGCCGGGGCCGTAAGAGTTGATGGTGAGGATGAAGCAAGTAGCTTCATGCATACAGCCCCGTGGAGGCGAGCAACCAGACCGAGATGTGCAGGGGTGGAGAGCTCAGCCCCGGATGCAAGTCCGACAACTACATCCAGTCATAGACGACTGGGAGATCCCAGACCGCCCAGAACAGCAGAATGGGACCGCAGCAGAAGCCATGACAATCGGGAGCGAGATCCACCTGCCGAGGTGGGGGGCGCTGGCGTAACATCGGCGTCGCAACATCGGCATCCTGTGAAGCCCGACATGGACCGACAGCTGAGCAGGTCACACCAACTGAGGTGGACCCGCTTGGAATCCACCAATGGCCAAGTACTCTGGCTAGAACTGCTAGAGCTTGTTTCGGCAGAGCAAGCCAACTATGAGCGGGGTGCTCACCAACAACAGCTGCCTTGGGCCTTGGCGCCATGGATCAACGACCGACTCCGGGCAGCGATAGCCTTGCGGTCTCTTGCAAGCAGCTGAGGAAGAGGAAGCACGCGAAGGAGCAGATGAGCGAGAAGAGGATGGGCAGAGGGAGGAGGAAGAAGTGCAAAGAATAAGCAAGGACAAGATGAGGCAGAGAAGACAGACAGCAAACCACAAGAGCGAGAGGAGGAGACAGTGGCCAGTGGCAATAGCAAGCCCCTGCCAGAGGATAGAGAACAGATTGCGCAATTTATGCGAGAGACGCTGCAACAAGGGGCCAACCCTCAACCGGCCCTGGCGGCGCTTGCCTGCTTGGGGGCTAGCACGGGGGTAGCGTGCCTGGATGAAGACTCAGACGAGACCTTTGAGATGACGACGTCGCAGTGTAGGCCTGCGCTCCTTTGATGGTGGTGGGGCCTACATCCACGTCACCGTTGCAGAGCGACCCACCTACTGCTGCGACTGGAAGGAGGCATCAGGCATCCTGATGCAGCGAGAGTTCAGGCCGCGGCAAGACGACTCCAAGGACAGTGATGTGGGGATTGTGGAGGCCATTCTGACCTATGTCGCGAGCATCATGCACCGTCAAGCAGTGGAGGAGGCCCTGAGCGAGTTCCGTGAAAGCAGGCCGGCGCACTCCAGGAGCAAGAAGGCTCCGCAGAGGCATGCAGACAGTGCGCAGCTGACGCTGCGTCAGGCCTGGGCGATGGGCAACATCGATACGGATGCAGTCATGGCATCGGGCCCGGCTTCGGCAGACCTTGCCGATACAATGCAAGCACGGCTGCAGCTACTGCGCCTGGGAAACCAGTGGGCTAGATTGAGCCAATTGCAGAGAGAAAACATAGTGGCAGCGGTGATGCAAGACCTGCCGGACTACTACATCACCAAGCTCGCTGACCCGATTGCGCAGCTCTACAATGGCGCGGGAGAGCCACAACCCCCTACAGCGCTACTGGCGCCTGGCGCTACGCATCAAGCTGAGAGAACAGCCGCAAGTAGCAGCACTTGGGCAAGGCGAACAAGTACAATCTGTGTCATCCTCAACATCAGATGAGGAACCCAGGAGCAAGGAGAAGCCGACCAAGGTGGCAAGAACTGACGGCGCAGGCGCAACAAAAACAAGGAAGCAGCGAAGGAAAGCCCCAAAACTTACGCAGAGGAGCCAACGAGAACTTCGCACCATACCAAGCCAGAAGAAGTTGCAGAAGCAGAAGGGCGCAAGCAAGGAGATGGGCATGCAAACGCAGGGAAGAAGGAGATGCATCGCGCTCACAGAAACCAAGCCAAAAACAGAACAGCAACTGCATGCGTGGGCGGAGGGCACTGATGAGGCTACAGCTCGAGGCACGCAAACAAGGGAAGCGACGGCACAAACAATGGCAAGGAGACGCGTATGGGTCCGAGCCGAGGACGTGAACGAGCTACTCGAAGAGGAAGAAAGGATCAGGAGCTTTCTGCGAGGCATGGCGGAAGAGAGCTCACGGCAGCAAGAGCTGCAAATCATGGACTTGCAGGCGGCGGACCAGGTGCCTACGCAGCCTTACCTGTTGTGTGACAGGGAGATCCAAGCGCTGACGGAGGAAGACATCCAGGCGAGAAACTGGGATGACGCACGGATCAGACGACCAATGGAAGAAAGCTGGCGCAGACCCAACATGGAGGGGATTGAGATGATCCAGGAGCACGAGCGCAATGAGGAAGAAGAGGAAGCACTCCTTCTGGTGGCTGCGGAGGGAGAGGAATGGCTAAGAGCAGAAGCTGAATGGGCAGCACAAGTTGGAGAGGAGAGTCAACGCAGGGTGGAAGATGAAACCCAGCATGATGACAGCTACCAAGACGGCGAGCAATACGAGGCGCAGCGCTGAGTTTCCACCACATCGTCTACTGAGTGAGATGTCCTAAGCAGCAGTTCTCTCAGAGCAGATATGTTTTAGCGCACTTCCAAGCGGATTTTACCTTTAGCCGACCGATACTTGTATCTCGGCCCAGGGAGCATTTGTATGTGAATTCTGAATCTTTTGAACGCTTTTGCGCCATGAGCGTGGCTTTGTGGACAGATACCAAGCCAGAGGTGCCGGGCTAGACAGTTACCGCCAGGCATGTGTATGTTGGGAGTTTGGTGTTTGTTTCTGGTCAGGTCGAACGTGTAATTTTGTATGCGTGCAACCTGGCCTGCACAGATGCGTCTCTTACTGAGATCAAACTGCAGAAATCCTGGAAACAAGGCGTGGAAGCCAAGAGCCCATGGGCAAAATCCCTCGGAAAAAGAAAGGGGTAAGGAAAAGCCCAAGTTTTTCCCCGACGGGGGGGGGAGCCCAAAAGTGTTCTGTCATTGCAATGGTTCCACAGTTACCCCGAGGATCTAGAGTGTAGACTCTCTTTTCACCCGTAAAGAAAGAAAGAAAGTACTGTGTGTTCCGCGTAGAACGTAGAAATCAGTGGGTTTAAACAGAGCGCACGATTCTGACCTCATGCATGGTGCCTTTTAGCCAGTTATGTGCACATTCAAACGTATTCGGTTCCTTGCTGCTTCCTCCTTTTCTTGCAATCTTCCATTTTGGTTCTTGTTGGCTTCCTTCTTTTCTTGCTTAGTTTTGGAATTCTTGCCAGGCATTGAAAGTCTCGAGCAATACTAGCTAACTGTACTGATCGTAGGAACTAGCTGCTAAAGAGTCAGTACCCTTAAGCTAATACCACGAAACCTCAGGCAAAACTCGGCATAGGCATCAAACAATAATTTGATAAGGCATCAAAAAAAGATTGCCAAGCGGAAAACAAGATTTGCCAGGCATCAACAGATGATTCGTGTCTTTCCTGGCCCTGTTGCCTCTCCGCTTTTCGGAATTTTCTGAGTTCTGCATGGTATCAGCTTGGCTTTTCGGCTGTTTTTTTGTCTTGTTCTTTGCTTGTTTTGGCGTTTTTTGGCTTTAGGCTTTTTGCCAGCTTTTCGGCCTCGTCGGCTTTCACAGCTAATGTGGCTGGTTTTCTGTCTGTTCGGAACTGTGTGAGTTCGCCTCTGGGTCTTTTCGGCTTTTCCTCTTTTTTGGCTTTAGGCTTCTTGGCTTCCTGGCTTTGAAAAATTTCTGAGTTCTGCATGATATC